CGTACTGAAGTTCAGGTGGAGCTCTACAGAGTTTGGAGTTATCCAGCTGCGTCTGGCTTAGGTATGGCTGCTGTGCTCAGCTCCTTCCCGCTGCGGACCTGGGCTAGGATTGGGTCTGGAGCTTCCCAGAACTCGGCAGAAATTCCTACTCGGCGGGAGGGGTGGGGCAGGTAAGGTGGAGTCGGGGGGGCGGCCCGAGGGGGCGGGAAAGGGTCCGGCCCACACTGCGCCTGGGCTGGGACTGGTCCCACTGGCACAGGGTAGCAGGAAGCTCTCCACACACTCTCCGGACCTGGGCTAGGACTGGGTCTTGCTATTAACGTTTGTCTCTGAGTTTGTTGCCATATCTGCAAGGTGGACAAAATGAAAATCAACAACATAGGTTATTTTAGGTATTAAATGGAATTGTATGTGCAAAGCACTCTGCCTTTCCCACACCAATTAATTACTAGAGGCCATGTATTTATTACCAAATAATATGAAGCTAATTGAAGCTAAAAAAAAAGCAACATAAACTATTTTACATTCTAATCCCCAATGTTCAGTTATCCCTCATATTAACTGTGGTCAATAGTCTTCTTACTGCTATTTTTTTCTCTAAATGTCAAGGCACTTCCCCAAAAGAAACAATGACTTTATAAAAGTGGTACCCAAAGGTTCTAACTTCCTTACATTCTTCTTCATCATTCCACTCTTATTCTCAAAGACCTGCACACATTCCAAGTTTCTAAAGTTTAGGACAAAATTATTAGATTTACTTCTGTGGCCTCTATACACATCTTAAATCTCCATTTTCTACTTTAACTGTTGACAGGTACTGAATCTACTACTTCAAACAAATAAAGATGATTAAATGTACACATATGACTTCGTGTCTTATCAGTTTATAGTTCTTCACTTTATTCTCTGAACAGAGGCTTCTTCTGAGAGATAAAAGGATAATCTTCAAGAATCAAGAACATCCATTTCCATCTCAAAGAAGCCAGCTAAGAATTCACAGGTGAAATTAATCTAACCATTAATTATTTGTCACGATGATGAAGTATAATTAATTCAAGAATGAAATAAGTCTTTTTTAAGGTAATGTAACTAGTATGGGAAACACATGGAGAATAGAAACAATGTCACAGAGTTTGTTCTACTGGGGCTTACACAGAATCTGAAGATGCAAAAAATGGTATTTGCTGTATTTTTAACCATCTATATTATCTCCATGGTAGGAAATGTGCTGATTGTGGTCACCATCACTGTCAGCCCATTGTTGGGGTCCCCTATGTACTTCTTCTTGGTCCAGCTCTCCTTCATTGATGCCTGTTATTCCTCTGTCAATACCCCTAAACTGATTGCAGATTCACTGCATGAAAAGAAGACCATCCTATTCAATGGATGCATGACACAAATTTTTGGGGAGCATTTTTTGGGAGGTGCCGAGGGTATCCTGCTGACTGTGATGGCCTATGACCGCTATGTGGCCATTTGCAAGCCTTTGCACTATGCAACCATCATGAACCAGAGATTGTGCAACCTTCTAGTGGGAGTGTCCTGGGTTGGAGGCTTTCTTCACGGAGCCATACAGATCCTATTCATCTTCCGGTTGCCCTTCTGTGGCCCTAATGTCATAGATCACTTCATGTGTGATCTGAACCCCTTGCTCAACCTAGCCTGCACTGACACCCACATGCTCGGGTTATTCGTTGCTGCCAACAGTGGCTTCATCTGTCTGTTGAACTTACTCCTGCTGTTGGTCTCTTATGTGATTATCCTGAACTCCCTAAAAAGCCACAGTTTGGAGGGGAGAAGCAAGGCCCTCTCCACCTGTGCCTCTCATATCACAGTGGTTGTCTTATACTTTGTTCCCTGCATCTTTGTGTACATGAGACCAGCAGCTACTTTGCCCATTGATAAGGCAGTTACTGTGTTCTACACCATGATAACTCCCATGTTAAATCCCTTAATCTATACTCTAAGAAATGCTCAAATGAAAAATGCCATTAGGAAGCTGTGTAGTAATAATGTTATTTCAGATGACAAATAAATATGGTTGAATCTCTACAGTAATTGAGCTTCAGCAAAAGCATGTGACAGATATGGTCACCAAGATTTAGAAAATATCAAGTGGGGTAATTTACAGATTTTTCATTAAAAGAAGTAGAAATTGTGTAATAAAGAGGAGAAAACCTAACCCAGGACTGTTCTGCATATATGAGAAATTCTGCAAAATTAGGGATTAGTTTTTCTCTAAAAATATAATTCAATTTCTTTACAAATAATAGCATAATAACAATAGTCAATTTACTTTATTTTCAGAGTACAAGACAGACAAAAACTCTTTCTTACAAAAATAGAAAATATTTTGGTCAATGAACTAAGATAAAATAGTAGTACAAAGTAAATGATATGGCATACATAAAAATACTTGTAAGCAACAAAATAGGTAATTTAGAGCTTTACTTGAACTTCCTACTTTCAATTTATCTGTCATATTTTATATATGTATATCATAGCATATAGATATTATATATACTATATATGTAAAATCTAATATAAAATGAATTTTCTGTTATTTCAATGTGTTCATTCATAGATTTTATTCTAATAAAAATAATAAAATACATTCGTATTGAGTGGTAATCTATAATGCTCCAGAGGTAAGCATTGCTATTGTCCTCATCTTATAAATGAGGAAACTGAAATGAAGGTGAAGTTATCAAAACAGACATATTAGTGAGTCATTATCTAAAATATTATTGATTTCCCATCCCAAATATTTTACTGTTATGACACTATTGTAAGAATGATACTATCATATGAATGATAACATAAAAGTCTTGATAATTATACTATTTACCATTTGAATCCAGCATTAATATTGGTAGATATTAATTTATTTTGTATTGCTAAAATATATTTTATTAATATTTCTACTTGTTTTATTTATCATAATTATTGGTCATGTATTGACTAATACATTGTGAGACCTTACTAACTCAAGGCTAGAGATGCAATGGGTTGTCTAACCACCAAGGAGTAAACAATAAAGTGTATACCATTGTTTTAAATTCCCTTGTAAACCGCAGGATCATTATTCTTGTCCATGTTACATATGATATGCCATTAACTTGTCAGAAAGAGGGCTGACTCAAAAGAAGGTTAAATGGCAGACAGAAATGTCTATTTACTATAATATTATGCACCTTAAAGTAATTTCCTACTAGAAAGAGAGTTGCCCCAAAGTAACACATGTCTAGTGCTTCACAAATGTTGGTTGAATATATAAAAGAGTAAGAAAAATGAATTTTACAAAATTTAGAGCTAAAAAAAACACTAACACTGAAGAGTAGAAAATTCTTTCATATCTTTTGTCTACTCTAGCTCTACAGAAAATTCTAGGAAAAACTCTAGGGGGAAATACAATTTATTTAATTCTTGTTTTACAATTTGGTTTTATGCTAGAAATTGCAACAGATTCTCACCATATTTCCAAACAATATAATCTGAACTTGTCTTTGGTCCCTCCAAGCTGTTATTATCAAAAGTTGTGAGCTGTTTAACATAGATTTCCTCACTAATCAGTCTACCTTGATAACATTCTATTATTTAAAAAGTTATCTGTAAAAATGTAGCTTCATCTATACATAAAACCATTTTGGAATAAATGCATCAATCATATATTTTACCATTTATTTATTCAGCAACAAATATCTTAATTTCAAGGAATTTAACAGGCTGGGGATGAAGCTCAATGACATAAGCACCTGCCTGGCAAATGCAAGGTCCCAAGTTCAATCCCCGTTACTAAAAGAAAAAAAAATTTAAATTTGCGCAATTACTATCTCCAAGGAACTTATAAGGTACACTAACATTTGCAAGGTTTGGTTGGGAAAAAACACCAGTAGTCATATGGTGATCTCCCTAGATGAGACAAGTTGCTTTATCCATTATAACTGTCAAGATCCCCTCTTTGTCTTTAATTTCTGACACTTGAATTGTAATGTCATGGAGCACATCTCAATGGACTTATGTTATTTATTCCTGTCTGAGTTTCCTTGATTCTATTTCTTCATCATCCTTTGAGAAGTTTTCTGACCAAAAAAAGGAAATAAAGGAATGTACTTCAACATAATAAAGGTGGTGTTTGACAAGCACAGCTAAAACCACACTCAGTGGAGCAATGGAGAATCTTTCCTCTAAAATAAGAAATAAAACAAGAATACTCCCTCCTGCTATTTCTGTTCCACGTAGAAATTGAAGTCCTAGCTGATAGGTTTTTGACAATATTGCAGCAGAGAAGCAGGCAGAAGAAAAAAGGGAAGGGATTTTGCTATAAGGGGAAAGGGGCTTTATTATCTTGGAGGACACGGAGAGAATTTGGGAACATAAGGAATTCTCTGGATTGGAACAGAGGGAGGCTGAGGCATCTATGGCCTTTCACCAGGGGTGGAGTTTGAGGGGGATGTTTAGATACACCTGAGGAGCTGACTGGGGGCCTCCCTGGGTGGCAGGAAAGGTAAAAGGAAATTGCACCCTGGCCTGAGTTGGAGAAGAAGCAAGGAAGTGGTCTCTAGGAACATAAGCTGTTGTTTTAAGGGCTTCAGCCATTTTAGATGGCGGCCATAATTATTCAGTAATTCATAATAGAACCATAACCTATCATTCCCATCTTTTGGTTGTTATAAGAGGGACGATGTAAAAGGAATATTGTGGGAATGTCCTGCTTCAAGGTTGTATATGGTGAGATTTTTGGACTTATGTGCAAACATAAGAAGTATATAATTCTCTATGTCTATTTTAAAAATATATTCTAATTTTTAAATGTTTTTATCATATTCTGTAGGAACTTAAAATTCAACATATCAATACTTGATGAAAAATACCTGTTCCATATTATGCCTAAGAAGTTTCATATGCAGACAGAGATTGAGGTTAAGCTTAATAGCCTAAGTTGTATGGTAATAACAATAAGCTTGTCTTCTGGATGGTTAACATCCTAAGTTTGCAGACCAAAATTAGAGAAAAAGTAGGGCTGCAAGGAAAGCCAACATTTTGGCCCTAGCCTTCTAAGGTCAATTAAGACTCAGGACATATGAGAACTTGTACTGTAACGTCATGTAG